AACAAGAAACTACAGTGGTGACCAAAATTATTAGAACACTAGTATTTTTACCAGCTAAAAATGGTTTTAAGTCAGTTATTTTAAGTCAGTTATTATAATAATATCACTAGATTATTACAATTAATGGCAAAATGAATGTTGTAATGTAAACGTATCTCCTACTGACACACCTCAGCAAAAGATAGAAATAACTGACTTAAAACCATTTTTTAGCTGCTGAAAATACTAATGTTCTAATCATTTTGACCACCACTGTATGCTGACCTTCTGCCCTCATGTTGTTCTAAACCTGTGTGACTTTCTTTCTTCCATATGGAGCAGAAAATTGCAAAAAAAAAAAAAATTTTTAAAAATCAGCTTGGTCATTCTGCAAAACATTTTAAATTCTTATGCTTCTGAGAAATAAAGTCATATATGTTTGAAACAAAAACACAAGAATGATGGCAATTTTTGGTGAACTGCCCCTTAAAATAGTATTTAGTATATTGACAAACACATTTTATTGAGAAAAAAAAAATCACAGAATATTGTATTAATTGAAGCCAAATGGTCATCCAATTAGGGCTGACCCATGTTGTTATGTGAGGTGTGCATGTACCAGTGGCTGGAGGACCTGTGCTTTAAGTTAGCTGTTAATGCGCTATGGTGCACATTATCAACACTTACAACACTTCATCATTTGAAAACTTTGCTCTTAAGTTGAAATTCTTATCTGTGTCTTCAGTTTAGGTCTTATGTTTATCAAGTCAGAAGGTTGTGCATCATGTCTGTTTAAATCTGTAATTTGTTGTACAGTGAAGTTCACACTGCTGAAATTGGACTAGAAGCAAAGCTACTATAACCTCTACTATTGGGGGGGGAAAGCAAAAAAAGAAAAAGAAAAGTACGCTCCTCTTAACTTCACATACCTTTAGCTCATGAGACACATTTAATTACTGGATTAGATTCATAGCTTCTTTGCATCTAAATTTAATGACCTGCAATAATAGCCGTCTCTCCATGCTTATTTAATTTTCTGGCAGATACACATGAACAGCTCAGAGGAATAATGTAATGAACTCATGTGTAACGGCTAATTTCAGAGTTAACTCTACAAATGAACTTTTCTGCAAACTTTACTGTGTTTGTTTAAGTTTGGTTGTGACAGACTTGACCTATAGTTACCTAGCCAATTGCTTTTCATCTATACTTTCTGCAGTTGACCAAAGTTCAGTCACATGTGGCCTGTGATACTTAGATTGACACGCACACACAGGCACATTTACAGTGTGCTGCAGATGTACAGTATTCAGTGTATTACAAGTTCTACTATGCAATTACTGTGTAATCTGTGATATTTTCTTTTAAAATCACTTAAAATCAGGGCTGGCAATGCAGCATGACAGACAGGGGATGGAGTTCCAGTTTGAACACTGTATTTTCATACTATTTGCACCACAAATTTGCGCAAACTTGATTTTTTTCTCATTTTTAAAATACTATATGGTTCAGTTTTTCACCTCTTTGCACACTTGAATTATCAGTTATCGACGTAAACTGATGTTTTAGTATACTGAAGTGTCATGTATTGATAGTGGTATAATACGTTTTGGTAATACAATGTTTGCTTATTTGTAAATCAATATAAATTAAAAGTCTGTACTAATCTTTAGCAGTATTTTTAGATTCATATTTTTAACCCAAAAAAAAAAGAAAAAGAAAAAACCTCACCTGGAGCACATAAGAGAAACAGTCTTGGAACTGCTCTGCTTTTAGCTTTCTTCCATTCACAAAAACCTCTCCAAGGAGTTTACCAGAATTCCCGATTCGTCCTGCTACAGCATCTAATAGAGTGGTTTTTCCAGAACCTTGAGAGAGAGACATCAGTAAGCTTATTAACCTTTTGATATATTAGCCTATCATATGACATTGGCATGTAAAGAAATGATAGTGTAATATAAGTTTCTTTAGTACATTGCCTTGTTTATACTGCTTAATCATTTCAGTAACTTAATGCACATACAGTGAACAGTAGTTGAAAGATATGTTAGAATATGATTTATAATTTATATTTACAATTTTCTTTTTTTAGTGGTCATGCTCTCAAATTTCTCAAAATCTTGCCATTCACTATTACAATAGCATTGTGAAATACAGAAATGAACTCATACTGTAGCTAAATATTTAGACTGTATCACTATGCAATGTTGTGGGCTCTGATATTAAATATGTTAAAACTCTGAGCATCATGTCGGCGCCAACAGCATTGTGGGCAGCGTGCCAACATATAGCGCCATTGCCGCTACGGGCGTCCCGAGATTGAGTCCTTGTGGACCTTTACTGATCCCGTCCTCCCTCTCTTTCTCCCACTTTGTTTACTGTCTAAATTTCCTATCACAATAAAAGGCAAAAACGCCCCCCCCCACTTACCTGAATTCCCCAGAATTCCCATTATCTGTAGTCAGTAATCTTATTAACCTTTTGATATATTATCATATGACATTGACATTTAAAGAAATGACATCTTCAGCCTTATGTAATGTAAGTTATACATAATTTTTTAAATAGTGGTACAGTATAATAAGTTTTGGTAATAAATGTCTGCACTAATCTTTCTTATTGACTAGTGCTGGTTAGAATAATAATAAACATGGTTCAAGTGAATCAAGCACATTAAAAACCAAGTACTTTTGTACTTCTGCTCAATTAAAACTGAAGTGAACTTTGTACAAAAGTAATAAACAGAGTGGTCTTTTCTGAATCTTGAGAGAGACATCACCTTTTTGATATGATATCATATAATATGACACTGACATTTAAAGAAATTATAATTTCAGCCTTACGTAATGCAAGTCTTTTTACATAATAAATTGCCTTGTTCATTGCAGTGCACTGTTGTAGTTTTTAATAATACTTTTTATCAGTTTTTATTTTTATATTTTAATTTTAGTGAGTATTAATCATTTTGTTTTGTGCTTCTGTCATTGTTTATAGTTTTGTTATATGTATGTCTATGTAGTTTTTTCATTTTTACTTCTGTCTCAGTTTTAGTTAAGTACACAAATTTAGATTAAATTAAAATGAAAAGATGCTGAAATTGAACTTTTTTTATTTTATTTTATTTCAATTGTTAATGTCAGTTAATGTTTATTTTATTTCCAAGTAACGAAAATGTTTTTAATGGTTTTAGTTTTAGTTAACTACAATAACCCTGGCTCATTCTAACGATTACTGCTTATTCATTTCAGTGTCATAATACATGCACAGTAAACAATAGTCTAAAGATCTGTGAGTACACGATTTTATAACCTTTTTTGTTTTTACTTTTTTCACTTGTTTGCACACTTGAATTATCAGTAATTTAGACTGATATTTCAGTATATTGAAGTTTAATGTTTTGATAGTGGTATAAGAAGTTTTGGTAATATAATAAAATGTTTGTTTATTTGCAGATCAATACATATTTAATGTCTGCTCACTTACTGACTAGTGCTGGCTAAAATTATTAATAACATGGTTCATCAATCAAAATATTCATATAATAAACTTAAGTACCGGTACATTTAAAAACGAAGTACTTTTTTACTTTTATTCAAGCAAAATATCTTTAGTAAGTTTAACCTTTTGATATGATATCATATAATATGACACTGACGTTTAAAGAAATTATATTTTCAGGATTACGTAATGTAAGTTGCTTAGTATGTTGCCTTGTTTATTCGAATGCTTACTGTTTATTACTTTCTGTGTCTTAATAATGCATGTACAGTGAACATAGATCTGTGAGAATATGATTATGTTTTTATTTTGTTCTGCTTCTTTTGTTAGCAGTCATTCACTATTAAAAGACCATAGTGAAATACACAAATTAACTCATACTGAAGCTAAATATTTAGACTGTATCACTATGCATGCTGTGGGCTCTAATATAAAATTCATAGATATTCTGCCCTTTGAGTCACTTACCTGAATTCCCCAGAATTCCCATTATCTGCCCACTGTCCACATGAAATGACACTTGATTCAGTATCTGCCTTGTCCATTTTTTCCTGAAAGATGAAAGGTCCCACCAGGGTCCTACATGTTCACTGTAACACACATAAGCAAACAAAAAATGTTTACGAAATGGTCACAAGAAGTGGTTTCAGTGTGTCACTATTTTGTATGAAGCTTCAATGAAATAAGACTTAATAAAAGAATAATAGCCTAGCAGTTGTATAATTGTTGCCAAAGATAAAGTCTTTATATAGTAATTTAATCATGTCTGATTGATATTGGCATTTAAACTTTTATTCACTGATCGTTTCATGTTTATTGTATGCTTAAAGACTATAATATTAAATTCTAAAATATTGACATTAGACAACAGCTGTTTGGTCATATACAGTACATGTATCAGGTACAGTTGTCTGTTAGCAGCTACACTCAACATAAGAAGCTCCTGGACACATTCAGTGTGTGCTGGAAAAAAAACATACGTGTTTGAAGAGTGTCAGTTCATTAAGAACTTAATAGCAGGTTTACCAATAATCAGGTGCTAAATTTGACATAACTCTCATTGACTGTGAACTGACACGCATTTCACTGCCGTCATGTCAATGTTGTATTCTCACCTCACAGTGTAGGACACATTTTTGACGCTCAGGCAACACGACGATTCGACGTAGTCCCAATTTGGTTGGGACGTTCCCATCTCTGACACCAGCTTGAAAGATCCATTTAACCCATTATTCTGTAAAACATCCTGCATTGAATATAACTGACTCATTGTCTCTCATCGATGGACAAACAAACTTCAATATTCTCAGTGTGACAGATCCACGTCTTCAGCAGTCTAAATGCTCCGGCTCATATTACACAGATGAGGTTGGAACCATAAACAGTGACTCTTATCAGTGGAACTTTGCTCCATAAGCTATATAGAGTCGCGTCTCTCTGCCACCTCTCCTCAGTTTTTCCCTGGACAACAAGAGGAGCAGGTACTTCTCTAAGCGGGACGCCAGACCAGAGGGGCATAGACCCCTTTCTACCACGTCCACCATGTCAGACCAGAGTGCTTTCCATTCAGAAGACAGCTTCGGCTCTACAAATGACAAACAGAACAGGGTGAGTTCACCATGAGCTAAGACTACTCAAGCAATCGACACTAAAATGTAAACTATATTCAGAGGATGTTTATTTTGTTTCCATTGTATAACTGTTGTCTTCATTTACACATTCACAACAAGAGTATAGGATTATTTACATCCTATTGATTTTCAGCGAGGTCATTCAGGGTGATGCTGTACAAAAGCTTCTGTTGCAAAATTGGACCCTGAGCCACGTAGAAGACTCCAGTTCTCTTATCTGTTAACATTTGATAAATCTGATAAATAAAATGTGACCGTAATCAGTTTATGAGCAGCGTAATCTTAATTAAGCCTGATAAACCTTAAACTAAAAGTACTGACTAAAAAGCCAATCGTAAGTGCATAGATCGTATTTACATGTAAATAATCGTGTTGTCAAACATATGGGTATTATACTGACATTTGCACTTTATTATGTCTCAACAGACACAGGGTCAAGACATTCTTTAAATGACAAACAGAACAGGGTGAGTTCACCATGAGCTAAGACTACTCAAGCAATCGACACTAAAATGTAAACTATATTCAGAGGATGTTTATTTTGTTTCCATTGTATAACTGTTGTCTTCATTTACACATTCACAACAAGAGTATAGGATTATTTACATCCTATTGATTTTCAGCGAGGTCATTCAGGGTGATGCTGTACAAAAGCTTCTGTTGCAAAATTGGACCCTGAGCCACGTAGAAGACTCCAGTTCTCTTATCTGTTAACATTTGATAAATCTGATAAATAAAATGTGACCGTAATCAGTTTATGAGCAGCGTAATCTTAATTAAGCCTGATAAACCTTAAACTAAAAGTACTGACTAAAATTCCAATCGTAAGTGCATAGATCGTATTTACATGTAAATAATCATGTTGTCAAACATATGGGTATTATACTGACATTTGCACTTTATTATGTCTCAACAGACACAGGGTCAAGACATTCTTTTCTCGTCTCCAGAGGAGGACAGCAGTCTGTATTTTACTTACAGCGGAGGTCGCAATGAAGTGGAAGTCCGCAATCTCAACTATGAGGTTTTTTTCAGTTTCAAATTTATTCCAGGAATACATGGCCTCTCGGCCCATAGTTCCACAAAATCATAATGACATGGCAGATAATCTTTTCTTCATTCCATGATATATATACAATGCCAATCTCCATGCATACCTCGAATCACAAACACTTGATGATTCGAGGTAAGCATGGAGATTGATGACTTGAACATCTAAAAAGGAACAATGATCGTACCAGTTGCATGTTACACAGACGCAGTGTAGCTCTCTTGTATCAACGAAGACTTGTATTGTGAATATATATTTAACGTATTATTTTCCAAAACTTATGTATACCATGCCTCATGTGCTTTTTCTTTCAATCGTTGGTTAAGAATAGCTGTAAATGTTCTTATATCACCTACACTTTGAGCCTCAACTTTGTTTTCCTTCTGCTGAAGTACTTTTTAGATACTGAAAGAAGATCTTCGTTCATTTAGAATTTTTTTAGGAAGCAGATGAAAACAAAACATATGCATCAGACCTAGAATTATATATGACAGTTATATAAAGACATATATAAATCAAACTAAGTGGCATTTATAAAATAAAATAAAAACGTATCAAAGCTATATATATATATATATATATATATATATATATACATACATACAT